AGTCAACCAAGGAGAGAGAATTGTATTTTTGAATTTGCTAAATCTTATGTTAAAGAACTTCTCCTTGGTTTATCTAAGCGATTTGCGTACTAATTGCCATCCAGTATTTCAGATTTTGTACCATGTGACCTTGCCTCCTCCAAATGCAACACTTCATTTTGCCTTTTCGGGGTCCCTCTGGTATCCTATTGTCTGAGCTGGGTCCTTGGCCCCACCAAGAAATGAAGGGCTCTTATAGTTTAATTTTTTGCCGGGTCAAAGTCTCGAAGAAGACAGAAAACTCAAGAGTAGAAAGAAGAGCGGAGGGAGGATAGACGCCTGCGAAGGAGGCTACTAAATGTTAGACTTTGAAAAAATTTTTTTTGATCGATACTGAATTCATTTTGCCTTTCAGTCTCTTGAGTTTCCAACTGTTACATTGTGCAATTTCAATATTCTTCGCAAGTCACTTCTTCACGATCTCCCACTCTCCGTCAGAGAAGACATTGAAAAATATGCAAAAAGTAAGTTGTTTSGATTGGACAACAGTCACTGGAATAGACCTAATCGGCTAACGGCGTTGCTATGCACGTTGCSACCCAATTCAAATCCTGTGGGAAAAAGAACTTTTGTTTCTAAGAATTCAACTGTGAAATAAAAATACAACGAACAATGAAACTTACTCCCGGGTGGTTTTAATTGGGATGAAGCCGATTAGGTCTATTCGTCTATTCTGACATTTTTTGTTCTAGTCATATATTGGAATTTGTGAAAAGCTACTTGTTGATCCTCGAATCATTTAAATTACATCATCTAACCTCTTTCCTGAGCTATATGCATTGGAAAGCTGATTAATATGCGAATGTGGTAACGCCATGAAACCAAGAATAGTCTCTTTTAAGGTTCTCTGTGACATATTGAAAGGTATCCTTTCTTTTTCATCGAGTTTAGACGACCGTAGAGAGTACATTGATAGATTCCTGTGAATAGTTGCCTGTGCAAAGAAGGTTCCTATCATTGCACACCCACCGGTTTTCTCACTTCTGTCCGGCTACATTTCAGATCGTGCAGGGGGCCGTAAAAGAGACTATTGGACAAGATTTTCTTCGTTATTTGTTTTTAAAAGCTTTTTCAGCTGAAGTGATCTACTCTCATTAAAAAAAACTTGAGAACTGAAAATGTTATTTCCATTGTCGCAAAGTCATATATTTGCATTTTCAGTTTTTCAATGCTTTGAGATCTGAAGTTATAAATTTAATCCATTTTTTTATATGAACTTAAATATATTTTTCCAAATCAGATCAAGATGCTGCATGCTGCACTTCCTGTGAAAAACTTTGAAATGGTGCAAAATGCGTAARAAGATGGAATCTGACATAATTTTATCTGAATTTAGTTTTATTACACCGCACAATTTGAATCAAGTTTTAAATTTTAACTCTTCAAAAGTTGTTATCAAACATTCCAGCAAACTGAATTAGAGGAGTTGTAACAGAAGTCAAAGTGATCCAGATTCCTTATTTTTGCGTGCTTTGCTTGAGATGAGCGAACATTAACATGAAGTGCCTTAAAATACCTGCATTACGTCGTTTTGATATTTTCTAGAAAGTACCTCTAGCTCAGGAAAAMAGGACAAAAAGAAAAAAACCGAGTCTTCACAAGAGGATGAAGACGATGGTTTTCCCGATCCTAGCCTTGCCGATATAGACTATCAGATGGCAGAGAAAATAGCGGCAGCACTTGTCAAGGAGGATTCGTCTGCACTCAAGGAGATTGGRCACCAGTTTGAAACCATGGTCCGATCATGTAAATTCCGAGGGGTCGATTGCATGTACCTGTATGTATTGAAGGATCAACAGTCTAAATTCTAAAATAATGTACAGGGGCGGATCCAGGATTTTATRAGGGGAGGTGCTTTTGTCAGTAATTAATATATAGCTAAAAACTAAGTATAGCAGATGGAGCTGATCATTTTTGTTACCTGCGTATTGTCTAGAGCAAGAAATTTATATGCACAATTTGACCGAAAGCAAATTGACTTTTATTGAAACGTATCTTTGACTACACTACTAAAATAGATTGTTAAGCAGCATAGTGGCAGACATATGTTGTTATGCTACTCGTTTTCTCGATAAAAGTACAACAGGAGTATAAACAGCAGAAAAAAACGTTTATACTGATATATGAAAAAATTCCGTCGTCCCCTGGATCCGCCCCTGATGTACTTCCCTTAATTAATGCGTACAAAACACAAAACAACTACCTTTAAAATGTTATCATTCAATTACAAACTAGAGTGACTACACTAGTTGTTACACTGTTCCAGTTGAGTGACAACAACTAATAGTCACTAATAAGAACTATTAGATAGTAACTATTTATATTTTATCTAAAGGGCATACTGTAATCACTCTCTAAACGTTAATCTTACCTTATTTGGAAGTGCGAGTGGATTCGTATTTGATCTGCGATTGCATAGTAAAGCTAAAYCTTTCTTCGATAATTATTTTTTTCAGGAACGAGTCTTCGAGCAGCTCTGATTGGAGTACTTTATGGCATTATAAGTATGGGAATTGCTTCGTCTTCAACCCTAATTCGATCAAAGGCGTCAAAAGAAAAACTATGAAACTATCAAAGCCTGGTCCTTCACTTGGTATGAAACGAAAT